TGTGTGTGTGTGTGTGTGTGTGTGTGTGTGTGTGTGTGTGTCTCGGGGCTTTACTCGCATCATCACAACCAAGATGGCGGCGGAGCGGACAGCCGGCTCTGCTCGGTGACTGACAGAAGAAGGCGCCTCTCTCTCGGTGTTGGACGGTTCACGGTCACAGGAGGAGAAACAAACACACACTCAAAAAACCAAACTCATTTTAAAAACCCACCGGTCACCTCAGCCTTTCGGTACCGGGACTGTGATGAACCAGCACCGGTAGACCGGAGTTGTGAGGACCGATTTGACGCTTCGCTAACGGGGGGGTAAGTACGAGATGATGAGCCGCTTCAGAGACGGGCTGGTGGGGGGGATTTGTCGAACAGCTGCCCGCTGCTCGCCCCCACTAGAACCGGACTGGAAATCCCTCTGTCACCCGTTTAACATGTGGTTTTATATTCGCGGTAACTGTCGCTAAATGACGCCTCTGCCCCTCAAACCGACGCCCGACATGTGTGACCCTCAGCCCGGTGGAGATAAGCCACAGGTAGCGCCGACGATTCCTGAGTGTTTCACTCTCCACCTGGAAACACCAGCACGTAACCTCGGTTCGTGTCTGCGTGCACCGGTAACATGCGATCACTGGCAGCTAAAAATATCCACAAACACTTAACTGACCTCTGCCTGCACATGCAAGAATGTTTGATCGTTTATTCTCATAAACAGACTCTTTAACCTTCATGCAGTGACGCAGGAGCTGCAAAGAGACGTCTAAGGTTTAAACGATTTTTAATTTATCAGGATAATCGATTAATCATTTGAGGAATTTTTTTTATGCAAAAAAAAAAAAGAAAAAAAGAAAGAAAGAAGCTGCAGCCAGGAAGATTTCCTGCTTTAATTCAAGATGTCAGCTTGAATGTTCATGTTGAAATTAAGTGATGTGCAGAAAGGTTTTTGTTTTTTCTCCATTAAGCCGAATTCTATGGTGGCCGAGAGAGCAACGCACTGCAAATGAAGAAAATGCATGCAAATAGAAGAGACACGTGCAAACTCAGAAAACATCTTCATCGATTTGACGACACCTGCAACTACAGAAACATGCTGCAAATTGGAAAAAGTGATGAACCTGCCTGTACTTCAATGCTTTGTGAAGTTATTGAAGTCTGCTACTCGTCTCGTTTCTGTATTTGCATGTTCAAATTGTTTTCTTAATTCGAACATGTTTTTTTCCATTTGCATGTGTTTTCTTAATTTGCAGTACATGTACGCTAAGCGGAGCCTTACGCTGTACCCTGACGTGCACCCAAATGTAACTACACGATGAGGTGCAAGAGCTGTTATTGTTCTGCTGGGTAGCGTCACATTTCCGGCAGACTCGCCGCCATTTTTGAATTGAGTTGAAGGAACGAACACGGACAACGTCTTTCTGTTCTTTGTTGTAGTTCTTTCAGAAAAAGTAATTGCTCCTTAACATGGATCAGCTCCAACTCCAACACGATCCGCTGAGTAACACTAGTCAAGTAAAGAGAGGATTTGTAAATAAACGATCCTCTTGTCACTGACGATAATGCTTCATGACTCTGGAATTATGTTCGGGGTCAATTTTTTAACGGAGAATGAATTTGGGTTTCGGAGTTGGGTTTGTTACTGATCAGACGCCTTCCTGATGTTACTGCATGAATTTAAAGAATGTAGTGCAGAATACCAGTGTGCAAAATGTGGAAACCAGACTGCAGACAGGGAACACACCGGGACTCCAGCCGGGTGTTTAGTTAGTAGACAGGATAGGTGCTGACGGCTGCCACTGGGGCCTGACATTCTGGAGTTTCACTTCCCCCTCCTACAAAAAAAAATTCCCTCGCATCGTTTAGCGGTGTTGCACAGGAGAGACAAGTCTGGTCAAATCGTACATGTGACAAAAATACTTTCAAGCCTGTCGTTTGAAAACCTCGGCTCCACATACCAGAAAGGTAACCTACACTGTACACTCTGTATTAATCCTCTCCCTGCTCTGCTGTCTTCTTCTGTTGCTTTTCACACATTTTTTCAGATACCATGTTGTTTCTCATGGCCGGATTTTGAGGAGCAAATGATGGACGGGATGTTTGTGTGCCGTCTTGTTGCCTTGTCTGTTCATGTTCAGAGGGCAGAGGGGCGCCCGACTGGAATTCCAGATGGGGCAGGGGGGGAGTCATATTTGAAATGAAGATGCTGTCGTCTCACAAATTTGAAAACAAATGGCTCGGCCTGGTTGTAAAGCCTGCTCCACTTGGCTGTGTAGTCCCATGCAGGTCCAAGAAGAGGATTTACAGCAGTGAGTAAAGAGAGACAGGTAGATCGTGTCGGCCTATACGTGATTGAAGGCTGCAGGTATTCCCAGTAACCCTGGTTGTGCCCTCAGGGTCAGTGCCTGCTGTCCACATATAACTGGCTCCAAATGTCTCATCCTGTGTCAGCAGTGGTTCCAACACCCGAGGCACAGGATGCATGTTATTCCCAACATCTTGCATAATTCAGTGAACACAAAGAGGGGAAAAACGGAGTCTGACTTCTTAGAGCTGTCGGTTACAGAGTGTGCTACTCACTGCTGTCATACTCAAGGCTTGTTCATGTATTTTAGAAAAAATGTTGTTGTTTATAACAAAATACAGTATGGTGAATGTCTAAGGGGAAGAATGTGTCAGGACTGTTGCTTTGCCCGTCAGTTTTATGTTCATATTCCTGCAGTTTTTCACCAGAAACTACAAATGTCCCTGGAGATTCCCTGTGGGCAATTAAGGTGGTCTGGTATTCAGAGAACGTGCTTATAAACTCATTGCTTTCCAGGAGTTGTTATGCAATAAAGCTGTGATGGGGAATGTGAAGGATCTGGGAAGTGTTTCCTTGTTTTTCTCTGTGGTGACGGTGCAGTTGTGATGTAGAGGTTGATGAGCCTGGAGGCTACAAGATGTTATCAGGAACACTTCCACCTAATTTCAAATAATTTACCCATCCCTTTTGCCATATTAACACTGGCTATTAACACTGCTCCGTTAGTTTTGGAGATCCATTTGAAAAGATGAGATGTATTCAGGTGCCTGACCATGTAGAGCTAGGTCGGCTGGATGGACTCCACTGGCGGGAAGGGAGAAGACGGCTCAGCTCGAGGGAAACCCCCTTTGTCACCTTGTGATTGGGCCTCGCAGTTGCACAGATTGCAGTCATTATGAGTTCCTACTTCAAGACTGACCGGCGACAGCGGAGTCACACACAACACAATCTTTAACCAGGAGAAACCCCCGACTTGCACGTATGGTGTCCAAACTATCGTCAGTAGTTGTCGCAGATTCTAACCACACATTACTTTCAGTATCACTATCACCTCATCATCACTTCAACATTGTTGTTTCTAGGCAACCGACTAACGAGGAGACAATCTTCTTCCTGTTTACACTGGCACGCACATTCCAAATAGACGCGAATAGTCATGTGATAGTGCATTTTCAGGTGTGTTAGTATGGACGGAGGTGATTACCGATACAGAGCTGATACACTCATGTGGAAAGACTGACGCTTGACTTCTTAATGACTTAAATTAAAAGGGTTAATTAACAGTGGCTGAGAATTTTTCCATCACAGCATTCAGCAGCAACGTGTTATATTTAGCAGTTTATACTTAAAACCAGAGGAAGTTATTCAGATGGTGACAGCACAGGAGAGCAACAGAGCATGAGATGTAGCTGCTGAATATTAGTGACAGTCAATATCCTGCTCCTGTGAGTTTTACAACCACTCACTGGAGATGTCTGCGTGATTGTTGTATCTGATGCAGGATGTTTGGCTCGTTGGTTCAGAAGGATTAAAACGTTTTATACATAATCGCAGCTGCTAGAGACGTGCGGACACAACATATCTGTTTTACATGTTGCCAGTGTGCACTCGAAATATGTCCAGCATCATTTCAGCAGCTGTTCTGAGTTTTTCTTCAAGGATGTAGAAAATAAAACCACCAGGCTTTGGTGACTTCTATCTTATGGAAATGTTTTTTTTAGAAATTGAAATTGAACTTTGGATTTTCTTTAAAGCGTTAAGAGTAGATCTGGGTATCATTCTTTCAATATTGGTAACTATCATACCTGAATACCATAGTTTCAAGAACAGCTAGATAACCGAACAATAGTCTTTCTATAGCTAGAGACATCAGAAGATGATCAATCCTTTATTTACTGTGTACTGCTGTTTGTTGTCCACAGGCTGCTAGTGTTGCAGCTTCTCTTCTTAAAGACAGCTGGGCTCCACGGTGCAGCATGTTGCTGCATTAGCCAGTGAAAATTATAATTCAGACACTGAGGTTGGAAAAAAAAAAGATTCTCAGGGCCCTGACGCTAATGATCATTAGCAAAGCTCAGAAGAAAACATTGTCAGATTGTCATTTCTGCTATGGATTTTCACCTTTTCCTTGTTAAAATGACATGAAGGAGGCAGGACGTGACCTAGGAATTCTGTTGTTGTCTTCCACATGTATGATTTCTCTTTTTCATCTTGAAATATTTGTATTCTTCTAGTTCTACTGTTCCCTCACACTTTGATATTTACAGAGTGAAGAATTCTTGCTAAAAGCAGGGTTGTGGGTTTTTTTTTAATCGCAGCACAGCTTGATTTTTATGCAAAGCGTAGCCGAAAGGAGAGACTGAATAAAGAAAAGGGAAGCTACTATTGATTTTCACACAGACCAACTGAGAATAGAATTACATGTTCCCAGGGATTACCATCCACAAACACTAATTAGCTGTAAGCTCAAAGTATTGCTTGCAGGGAAAAAGGTTTGTTCTCAGTTGGTGGGTGGCATCTGATGTCAGAAAGATGAATTTGGGCGTTGGGCACTGATCTCATCATCGAAGGCAGGGGTGGGGAACCTATCGAGGGCCATTTAAAATTTTTACAACATCCTTCGCAGGCCATACCAAATGATTGAAAACATGCAGTATATAACTGTAACCTGTCTAATGCAGGGGCTGGATGATGGTGATGATGATGGTCATGTTTCTGGCAGCTGGTTTTAGTCAAAAACTGGAGAGAAAAAGTTGAAATTTCTTTTAGTGTCCTTTAGTGTTTTTTCAATGTCTCTGTAGCCGCGTTTCCACCACAAGAACTTTGCAGGAACTCAGTACGTTTAGGGACCAGGGTCTAAATGATGTCAGGAGATGTTTTTACCTCCCAAAACGTCCCTGCACAGGGGGGTTGCACATTACGAAAGAATAGGAACTTTTCGTCCTTTTCTGCAATAGCTGTTTTGCGTTCTTTAAGTTGAGCGTTTCAGCTCTCAAAGATGCTTGGTTGCCGTTGG